TTACAAGTAAATCATAATTCTAAATTTCATTCATTCATTTCCTCCTTTTTTTTTGTCACCGTAAGTTAATGAATTTGACAGCTGCTTTTTCAACGAATATTGGCAATTAAATTTTCGTCTCAACTTTTTCATTTTTTGTTGTTTAAAAAAAAAAACGCTCAAATCTTAATTTTTAAAAAAATTTCAATGAATGAAAAAAAAAGAAATATTTGAAATGAAAATTTTATATTTAAAAAAAAATTTTTTTTGAATTTTTTAGAAATTTTAAAAATATTTCGAAAAAAAAACATATTCATTTTTCAGGTGTACGGTCTACTAAATTTTAACGAATTTCGTGAAAATATTTATTATATATTTGGCTTAACTTGCCTTATTTCATGGTTCATTTTTAATCTTTGGATATTACGCGATTATTTCTTTCCATGTTGGTTTAAGCCAATTTACACCGATAAAGGACTCAATAAAATTTTATTGGAGCGAAAAAAAATGGAATATATTCGACGTAAACGAATTAGTCATATTTTTGCTATGCCTGTTTCAATTGTATTACCAAATATGGGTCAAAGTTCATTTCGTAATATGCCAACACAATCAACGCAATCAGCACCAACAATATCATTGTTAAAATATGAATATTTTAAATCACGTCAAAAATTATCCAAAGATTATCGAAATTCACAAATTTTAAATCCATTAACACTTTAAATCGTTCAATTTAAACATATTCGGCATGAAAAAAAACGATTAAGATTAAATTTTAGTAATTAATTTTTAAATTTTACGTCAAAAATTTCAATATCAAAATATAACGAAAATTCCAATAAATATCATTACTGATTTAAATTATCACAGTATTATACAGTAGAATGATTTATGTTGTTTCACTTAACTATTATAAAGTAATGCTTTACTGTAATGATAATTTACTGTGATAATATTTTAGTAATGATGTTTTACTTAATATATTCATTTGTGAAATTTTTTGTAATTTAACATTTGTCTGTTTTGCAATAGGAATAACGAATATATGAATTGAATAATTGAAAAAGGAAAAAGAATTATTAATTGAATAATTTATAAACGAATTCTTTTAATTTAAAAATCATTTCAATTGTATATATGTTACCTCATTTTAAACAATTTATTAATAATAATCAATGATTAAATTTTAATTTATCATTGCGTTTTGTTTGCAGATGTAATTAATCATTCAAATCAAATTTTATTGTTGCTTATCATCCAAAATGCAATTTTTTTTTATATTTCAACTGCTAACTTTTTTAATTTAATAATTTTCAACAATCTTTTTTTTTAAAAAAAAAGGAAAAAAGAAAAAAAAGGAAAAGAACTTTGATTTTTTCGTTTTTTTTGATTTGTTTAATGTAAAAATACGTATTAAATGAAATTTTTCATACTATTTGCATATTTTTTGTCATATTTCACAAATGTTACAATTCAAATTGTCATATTATTCAGCGGCTATTGTATTATTGAGTAATTTATTAGTAGCTAGCCCTTTTTAAAATTTCAAAATTTTACAACTTTTTTTTTCTTAAAAATTTCCACAATCATTTATTGATTTTCTCGGGAAAAAAAGCAAAGAAAAAAAGGATTTTTTTTTCTAGAGAAAATAATCCTAGTAAGTGTATTTATTGATTAAACTATTGATAACTTGCTTTAAAAAAAAAAGAAAAAAGAAAACAATATCATTAAGCATATTAGGAAAATTTATTTGTTTGTTTTTTTTCTTTTTATTTTATGTTTATTTAAAATATAATTAAGGCGCAAATGTCGCACACGTTTAATTTTACCGTATTATTTGATTACTAAAAAGCTTTTTCATACTTTTATATGTGAATAACAATGCTAAAAATTTTATCAAAGATATATTTGACGGATTGTTTTAGATATTTTGATTTAAAAAAAAAAAAAAAGAACAGGAAGAAAATGGCGCATTTATTTTTTTTTTTAGAAAATGCATTTAAAAATGGTAAAAGTAAAATTTTAGAGAATGAAGGATTTAATGAGAATTATAGTATTATTACGATTACAGTGATCAATTATTTGGCGGTTACTGTATCATTATCGTACCAAAATTTGATATTTTAGATGTACTGTAATTGAATTTTCTATAAAGCTAATGCAAGAATTTGTTTTGAAAAAAAAAACAAACAAAACAAATTTTGGTACAACAATTCTTCACTATTTCCTATTAATAATCGATGAATTGATTAAAAATTAATGTAAATTATAGAAATTGATGACAAATTTTAAAATAATATTCGATGAAGCAATGGCATACATTGGTGATGTAAATATGCAACAAATATATATTTAATGTTCTTTTTTCATGTCATTAATTAATTAATTACTCAAGTAAGCTAGATTGAAAAACCTGTATTGTTTGGTAAGGGAGAAGATAAAATTTAACAGAAATTATGAAATTCAAAAGGAAAAAAAAATCACTTTAATACTAATTTAATTGCTTTAAAAAATACGCGCAAATATTTAAAACAAATATTTTATCCAAAATTTCGTTTAAAAATTTTAAAATATTTGCCAATTATATTAGCAATATGCGCATAATTTGAAATAATTCAGGAACTAATTATTCAACCAATAATAATTCAGCATTAATTTTTTTCTTTTTTTTATTACAATTTTTAAATTTTATAATTTATTATCAGCAGATCAACTGCCGCATCATTTCTAGGTGTACTGTAATCAAAGTTTTGTATCATTTTTGACTATACTGTAATCAAACTCAACCGATTTTTGAAGTTTTTATAATTTATTATCAATGGATCAATTTTCTCGATGTATTGTAATCAAAATTCTGTGCCATTTTCAGTTATACTGTAATCAAAATCAACAGATTTTTGACGATATTTATAGAATATTGTGAAATTTGTGTTAAAATAAATAGTTCAATGTAGTGAAATATTTGTTTAAAAATGGACAAAAATATGCTAAAATGTCTTTATGAAATTTATTAGCAATTTTTTTTTTATTGTGATTTATTATTGCTAATAAATTTTTAATAAAAAAAATTATTCATTTGCCAAAATGAAAATTAATTATAATTTTATTGTCAAAGATTTTTTTTATACTTTTCCTTTTTTTCTTTTTTTTCTTCTTGCTAATCAAGTATTACTTTTAATGGTATAAATTAATAGATTGATTGAACAGTAATCCAGAAATTTGACTTTTTTTATATTTCAAATTTTTTGTTATATTACAAAGAATATTTCTGAAACTATTTGTCATATTTAAAATTAATTTGATAATATTTACTTGTAATTTATATTTATATCAGATATTAATCAATTATGCTATTTGAAATATATCATTATGTGTTAATGAGAAAATTATCAGTTCATCCATATATCATCAAGAATTTATCAATTGCTATACAAAATATTTGATTTTTATCAAATTAAACCTATCATTCCATACGAATATTTCCATTTTTACTTAATTATAGTTAATCCTAAATTGATTACAATTAATCTTTTTTTTTTTATGACACAATTATTTTCTGGTTTGTTATCAGTACGATTTCTTCCGATCAAATTTTAATTGATTCAAACTTATTACTGATTTAATTGATTTTAATCATTTACTTATTTGTCCTAATTTTGATCAAATTACTTCTACTTGTTCGGTTTTTTTTTCCTGATCTCGTATTATTATTTTATCAAATATATGTGTGATTTTTTATTTTCAAACTTTTCATTTTTACTTAATAAATCATATTAATGATAATCATTTTAAGTTATTTCCCTATTCTAATACCTTGTACTTTTACTCTGTAATTATATTAATGACAATTATCATAACTTATTTCCTAATTCTAATATCTTGCATTTTTACATGATAATTATATTAATGATAATCATTTCATGTCATTTCCCTATTTTAATACCTTGCATTTTTACTTAATAAATATAATTACTGATAATCATTTCAAATTATTTTTTTCGTTTGCAAAAAGAAAACACAATTTTTAAAAAATTTTAATTAAATATTTTATTTCATTATCTAATCATAAATAAAAGATTAGTATGGTAAATTAATGAGACATATATATTTGTATAAAAAAATTTAAATAAAAACAATAATTGCTTTTATTTTTTTCAAAAAAAGAAAAAGAAGAAAAAAGCTGATAAATAATTGTAATTTGTAAATTTTCGTTGTTTTTTTTCTTCTTTAATTGAAATTTTCTTTAAATTTCTTCGAAATTTAACTATTTGAGGACAAAGGACAATTTTTTGAGTTGTAAAGTGAAGCTTAAATGTCATCATCATATTTGATATGTTTTAATCATAATTTAAAATTGAAAAATGAAAAAAATCGAAACAAATACAATGAATAAATGATAAACCATTTTACAAAGAGTATTTCTTATATCATTCATTCTTCTCATCATTGGTATGTTTTGTTGTCGTTGACAAATGTGATGTCATTGGTCGTCGACCATCTGATGTATGCACAAAATCCTGAAAATTTGGAAGAAAATTTAAAAAAAAAAAAAAGAACCAAACGGAATATCGATTCAAAATAATCGGGAAGAAAACGGTTAAATTGAAAATTAAGTTTTTTTTTTTTTTAAATTAGTTTTTTTTACTACCTTTCTATATACATAAAGTTATCCCTGTTTTGAAATTTTAAAAAAAAAAAAAAAAAAAAGCTAATATTAGCCAACCTTTAAACGTCTCTTTAATAAAGCTCGTTTTTCCTCACGTAAATCACGTTCCTGTTGTTCAAGTAATTGTTTTTCAGTTTGTGACATCGATTCACTCTAAAATTTTTGATAAAATAAATTGACGATTTTCCTTTGAGAATAGAATTTAAAAGTGTAAAGTGAAGAGGAAAGCAACAGGATAAAGTTTATGAGAATAAAGTTAGGATAAAATGCAAAAGAATAGCGTCAAAAATGCAATTCAAGACAATAGCGCCCATGAAGATGCAATTCAAGACAATAGCGCCCATGAAGATGCAATTCAAGACAATAGCGCCCATGAAGATGCAATTCAAGATAATAGCGCCCATCAAGATGCAATTCAAGACAATAG